TTAATTAAGAGTGTATTTTGTTTCCTTTGCCTAGGCTTTGAAAGCTGGTACACAGGCAATTATAGTGCCCAGGTTGGCATTTAAGATTCGATTTGCATTGGCATCCAATGCAGTTGATATCTCTCCTTGTTGGAGAAATAAACAGTCATCGTGAAAAGAGGTGGCCTCTCCCTGTGACTCCCCAGGGCTCCAAGATCTCCTACCTTGTCCCTCCCTGGCTGTGGGCCCTGCAGGCTGAGTGTGGCCTCTTCTGGAGACCCCCACATGCTTCTCTCAACATCCTCACCACAAACCTGGCTCTGGACAGATTAGTGACATTTGCACCAAGTGCCCTGCTGTGACTGAATGATGGCACCTAAGAATCCCTTCTCTCTGATCACGAAAGCCACACTTAGGCTTTGCCTCTGTGGCTAATGAAGAAGAGAAACTGGAATAAATGCCCTGATTCCTAGAAAAAGTATACAAACACATGGTATTCTCTCCCTGGCTGGGCATGGCAGCCTCCCCATGTTGCTCAGTGAAGGCAAGAAAAGCAAGCATCCATGATGCTCTTTTATCTTGAACAGTTTGTAGACCCTGAAGTCGCCCTTCCCTTACGATGCATAAAGTAGGGGTCAGGGCTACCTGTGAGCAGTAGTGGGTAAGGAAATCTTACACTGATCCCATAAGGAGCTCTGTGGACCCCTCTGAGCATGCCTTCCCATGTGTCCCAACATCCTCCTACGTTCTTCCCGTGTTTACATATACGTATTTAGTTTTGCTCTATACGCTTGCTTGTAGCATCATGGGGAAAACAGACCGGTGTGATGAGGCAGGGCCTTGCTCTGTGGTCTCTAATTACTAGCATCTGAACGGTGCCCAATGCATAGAAGAACCTCAGAAAATGTTCTCAAGATATACAAACAAAGTCTACCCGAACAACAATTGTATGAGCCTGGATTTTTACTCACTCGTTGCTTATAAACAAGATCCGGGAGAGGAATCGCCACCCAGTGAGATTAGAAGCCTTCCCCTCTCTGATCTGTGGCATCAGTGTCTGGACTTGGCAGGTTTTCTTTACACAGTTCACTGGGAAGTAACTCAGAAACAACTCTAAGCAGACTGAAGATTCTTTGTGAGTAGCGGTGTGCCTGCATTTCCAAGTTTAGGATGAGTCTGAGACAGCAAGGCAGATAGAAGTGTGGTACTTCACCCAGGAATGAGAAAATGCCAGGGAGAGGCACAGGGTGGACAGAGGGGAGAAGGGGAATTCTCACGTCCACTTCCTTCTGCCTTACTGCCCGTTAAAATACTTGGGCCATTTTAAAAATATCAACACCTTGGCTCCACCCCAGAACAACTGGATCAAACTTTCTGGAGGACTAGTTATTTGTTAAAGTTCCCAGGTAATCCTGAAGGGCAGACAGTTGTGAGAACCTGAGTTTACCCCACTGGCAGTCATGAATGGCAGGGAAGAGCTTCTCATTTCTGGAGACTAAAACCTAAAAATCAAACAGGACATTTAGGGACACCTGGGTGACTCAGTCAGTTAAGCATCCACTCTTGATTTCGGCTCAGGTCACAATCTTGCAGCTTTGTGGGCTCAAGTCACGCACTGAGCTCTGCGTTCCCGGTGTGGAGCTTGCTTGGGATTGTCTCTCCCTCCCTCTCTCTCCCTCTCTCTCTCTCTCTCTGCCTCTCCTCCACTCATGTATCTGTCTCTCTCAAAATAAATAAGTAAGCTTTAGGGGCACCTGCTTGGCTCAGTCGGTTAGGCATATGACTTCGGCTCAGGTCATGATCTCACAGTTCATGGGTTCAAGCCCCATGTCTGGCTCTGTGCTGACAGCCAGCACAGAGCCTGGAGCCTGTTTCAGATTCTGTGTCTCCCACTCTCTCTGACCCTCCCCTACTTACACTGTCTCTCTCTCTTTCTCAGAAATAAATAAAAAACATTAAATAAATAAATAAATAAACAAACTTTAAAAGTAAATAAATAAATAAAAGTCGTACAGGACATTCAGTCTTAAAGTTCAAATTAACAGCAATCACCATCTTTTCACATCTTAGACATCTTATGTTCCCGTGTAACCTCCACAAGAGCCCTACCATAGCTGTTGTGTTACCCCCACTTTGTGGAGAAGCAAACTGAGGCTCAGAGCAGGGAGATTATTGTCCCAGCAGATAACTAAAAAGCACCAAGGGGAATGGTTCGCAATACCCGCTTATTGTATGTGCAACGTAGGGCACGTTACTTACTGCCTGTGAATATCTGTTTGGTTTCGTATAGAATAAGGATGATAATCCAGGTGATATGGGGTTGCTGTGGTGGGGCATGGACACATACCAGGCTTTCGATGTTCATTACATTCCTTCTGAAAATATGCCTGTCAGGAAGGGAAGGGCCTTGCCCTTTTCATAATATAGCACCTTCCTAAAACCGATGGACATGAAATTCTTTCCATCAGAGTCACCACACCTCATTCTCACCACATCCTTCATAAAGTGACTGAGGTCAGGTAGAACCACAGCCTTCTAAGATGGGTCTTAGACACTCAGAATAAAGCAAAGAGCCCCTCGCCCTGTGGAGTGCCATCTAATATGTCATGCTGATGCCATTGCCTGGCTGGCTCAGACTCTGCTGTGGGTCACTAAGACCCCAAAGTTTTCTTTTTAAATGCCAGAAAATTTGGACTCCTTTCCTGACCATTTAAAATTATTTTTTGTACAACAGATTATTCCCACATCTCTCAAACTCCTATTAAGAGTTTTTTTGAACTCTTATTAAGATTTTAAAATACAAGCTGTTACAGATGAAGTAATTTACAAAGGTTGAAGGACAAAGGCAAAAGTTAAGTATTCTTTCCCCCGTCCCTACCCTGTTCATCCCTGATGCCATATGTGTGGACACTTTGGCAAAGCCTCTGTACTGTGGCTCCACAGGAAGCTTTATTAGAGGAAATAAAATAGAAGAAACGTAATAACATACATCCAACTTTCTGAGACCATTTTTTGTCACCAGATATGAAAGAATTACAGTTTTTTAAATGGAACTATTTTATAGAATCTTGGAACTGAAAGACCTATTTGGCCCAACCTGATCATGTCTCAGATGAAAAACTGAGGCGGAGCATTTTAATGCCTTGTTCAAGGCTATACAGTGGATGGAAAGTGAAGCTAGAAAGCATCTTCCCTGGCCACCTCCCCAGACCTCTGATCCAAGGCAGTAAACCTTGGAAGGGACTGCCCCACACCCTGTGATTCCTTCACTTAAGAGCTGGCTGAGAGCCTCAAACAGAGCCTGCTTCAGATTCTGTGTCTCCCTCTCTCTCCCCCACCCCTACCCACCTTCTGTCTCACTCTCTGAAAAAATAAACATTTAAAATAAATAAATAAATAAATAAAGATTCCCCTGACCTCCAAGGCACAGAGGATTTGTTTTGCTTTATATACATCTGTTTTTGGTTTTAAATGTTTTTTTTTTTTTTTTTGAGAGAGAGAGAGACAGACAGTGTGAGGAGGAGAGGGTCAGAGAGAGAGGAAGACACAGAATCAGAAGCAGGCTTCAGGCTCTGAGCTAGCTGTCAGCACAGAGCCCAACTCGGGGCTCGAACCCACGAACCACGAGATCATGACCTGAGCCGAAGTCAGACGCTCAACCTACTGAGCCACCCAGGCGCCCCTAGATGAATCTGTTTTTGCAGAGCACTTTGATAACAGCCATCATAGAGAGATGCAGAATCCATATTATCCTGAGTTTTAGGAGTGCCTTGAACAGAGGCCGCCTCCTATTGGGCACAATATTTGCACAAAGTTCTCAGTAAATGGCAGTTGGATAGATGGATGGATACATGATGACAGAGGATGGCAGAATGATCTAGAAGTGCATAAAGCTCAGTGGGGTGTAATATGGTGACTGGGCAGGAAATGGAATTTTTGAGTCCTGTGCATTTGGGCTTTTATTGCAGATGGATGATCTTGGGCACATAAGTTAACCTCCCTGAGCCTCATTCTCTTTAACACTGAAGTCCAGTCTCAACTCTGCTCTGCTCAGCAAGGAGCCCCAGGAGGCTGATGGATAGAGACCACATCCATGGCTCTTCACCCTTGGCTTCCTGTTAAGTTTGGCCAATGGGAAACAGCAGCATGCGAGTGTGGCCAGAAGTGTGAGATGGAGATTTCTACTGCACCCACCCAGACCTCTCCCTCTGAGTCTCTCATACTGTGGAAGCCCTTCCCACCAGCCCCATGTCTGGATCCCAGTGACCCTTGGCTCCCTTGAACCCCCGAGCATGATAACAGCACCCTTACATCTCTCACTTTCCTTTGTGGATTCCCCTTACCCTGTCCACACCTTTTAAACTATCTCTTTATTAAACTGTTCTCAAGCTACCAATTTGAGGATGCCATCCATTTCTTGCTAGAACCCCAACTGATATGGTGGCCAGTATCCTACATACCCACAGGGTCTTTGTGTAGATTAAATGTAATTATTGACGGAAAGCTCCCTCTGAATACCCCCAGGGTCTCGGCTGCTAATTTATTTGGCAAATAATCTCTCCTGTGTGGGTGAACACAAGCCACAAATAAAATGTTGTGTCGTAGCTGAAGCGGTAGAGAAATGTTGCTTCCAATAAATATTTCATGGCAGAGCCTCACTTTGAAAGGAAAGGCCCCCCCTCTCTTGCACGGACAGGGGCGCCCTGCAGAGCCCGCGAGCAGGCGCCCAGGGGAAGTACACAATTGCACGCCAGGGAAAACCAGGTCGGGCTGTGTGCGCAGCTCCCCAGGGCAGACGCGATGGATCGTGACGGAAAGAGGACAGCCTGTCAGGGCAAAGTCCCCTCCCCCGCCCCGCTCCAGAAATAAACCAATTATCCACCTGGATTGACTCTCTTCCCGTCATTTCCTCGAGCCCCCACCTGTCCCCCATTCTAATAGGGAGCGACAGCGGCGTGTTGGCCGGAATTAAAACATGAAGTGTCGAGCTCAGTAACGGGTTTTACTTTTTGTTTCCACAGGCTGAATTCAAGATCCCGCTTCTTTGTGAGGCAGCAAGAACTATGAACAGACAGTAAGTAACGGACGTCACTGTGGGTCCCAATCTCCCCTCTCCTGGTGGGAACCGGAATGTGAATGAAGGAAGGGTGTCACTGTGCCCCCCCCCCTCCCCCCCCCCCCCCCCAGGAAGGGCATTGCCAGTGGCAGAGCCGAGCCGAGAGGCTGGTGCCTAGGATGCGCATGTTGGTGCTCAGCGAAGCATCTTCCCCGTAGTGACACTGGTTTCATGGGCCGGCCACTTGTTCTCACCCAGCATGGGTGTGTGGCCGGGACAGAGATGAGATACCCCAGCCCCAGAATGCCAGGGGAGCACCCTGAAATACCATCCATCACTTCACACCCGCGTGTGTGAAGCCAGAACTGAAACAACACGTGCTTCCCACACGTGATGCCCCAGCAGAGAACCTGGAGTCCAGTTCCGGGTTCGTGGAGCAGCCGGGGTGATGATGCGGTCAGTTTAGGGTATCCTGATGTGTATCTGATTCAGCACAACATCCATCCTATTCCTGATGTCTAGGGTTATGGTAAAAAAAAAAAAAAAAAAAAAAAAATTGCAGGCCTCTAAGTGGTAAGAAATATTTATAATGAGAAACAAAACAAAACTTTTAAATTGAGAGAATTTTGAGGTACTAATTTTAACAGCCATCTATTTACCCATTTATTGGTTTTAGTTTGCTCATTGGAAAGGTAGCACACTCCCTGTCACAGTGTAGGAAAGAACATGGGCTTCAGAGTCAAGCAGCCTGAGTGTAAATCCCTTGTCCTTTGGCCCCATCGTTTTATGGCTGTAGGACATTGGAGGACTTACCTAAACTTCCCTCCAGAAAGCAGGATCCGGCCTCAAGAAGGTCGACTGCCTGGCTTCTGGGTGGATTCCTGGGCTTAGAGGGAGCTCGGGGACAGTCCAGGGTAAGGAGGTGATGCCTGGGTCTCACAGGTGGACGCTGGAGGCGGAGCTGGTGTCCAGAGTGACAGGAGGCTGCAGTGCCAGCATCGCCGTGATCCCAGATGCCCCCAGGTGTCAGGGTGAGGTGACCTGACACACAGCCAGACCCAGGCCTGTGGGCTGCAGAAGCCGAAGCCGGGGCTCCTGGCTTATGGGCCATCTCCTCTGTGCGAGGTGCCAGGACGGCCTTCTCCTCTGACCCTGTAGCAGGTGGGGCCAGTCGGATGACAGGCACCACTAACTTCTCTGGGCATCGGCTTCCTCGTCTAAGTGACTCTTCTGAGATGGCACAGAAAGTGGGGATGGAGCTGGAGCTACCACTCAAGTCTGTCTGACTCCAAATCCAGGGCCCCTTCTGTTTACCCCACCTTTGTGGGAAACTGAGGCAGGTAGTGTGCTGGGCAGGTGAGGCAGAAGTAGGGCTGGCTGATCCAGGGTCACATGACAAAAGGGATGATGTTTCAGACAGAAGATTATAACCAGTGATGAGTGCGGCAAACAGCAGCTTCATTGTCAGACAAACAAACAAATAAATGGTCTGTGGCCCCATCGTGGAATGAATGGTAAGGCAGGCGCATCCACTTCTCACCAAACTGCATGACTTAAAACAACCAAAACTGTATTCTCTCACAGTCTATGGGGCTAGACGTCCAAAATCAAGGTGTGGGCAGGCCCCCGCTCACTTCGAACCTGGGAGAGAGGATCCTTCCTTCCACCGCCACCAGCCTGGGAGGTGGCCCCTGGTGCTCCCTGACTTGCGGCCGCATCTCTCTGCTGTCTGCCTCGCCCTCTCCCACTTTCTGCTCTGGGTCTGTGCCTTCTCTTCTTTTGCCTGCCTCAGATCTCCCTTGTCTTTCTCTTGTAAGGACATTTGTCATTGGGTTTAGGCCCCCACCCACTCACCTTCCGGTTAATCCAGGATGATTTCATCTCAAAATTCTTAATTACATCTGCAAAGACCCTTTCCCCTCATACGGTCACATTCACAAGTGCCCAGGCTGTGGACGTGGAAATATTTTAGGGTTGCCATTCAACCCACTGCAGCAGGCTTTGTTTCCAGACCCATCCCTTCCTTGGGGGCAATGCGGGAGTGACTTTGACAACCTCAGCAGTAATTTGCTACGAGTTTCCATCCGGCTGTGTGGTCAAGAGCCCCTACCCTGAGGTCCTGCTTCTGTTCCTCCGTGTGAACCCACCCTGTGCCAGGGTCTCCTCCATAAAGAATAGAGGTGTTGCCCCTTCATGAGGACTTTAGGTTGCTTCGGTTTTTAGCCAGACAGTTGACCTCTTGGCAATTTCATCAAGCTTCCAAAGGGTGGCTTTAAGATTCCAGCGTTAGACTTGTGTCAGATCTGGAGCTCCCGGGGGACAGACCGAATCACCGTAACTCCATAAACATTAGCTTTCTCCTCTCGGGGTGCTGACTCAGAATCTGTATTTCTGCAAGATCCCCAGGTGACCTCTAGTCACATTAAGTTTGAGACACACCTGATTAGAACAGTGGCCCCGGAGCCAGCCCTCTCCTGGCATGCTAGAGAGGCAGCTACAATATTCACCAAGACAGGACTCAGAGAAAACAGTCACATATGGGACATTGTGTGAGAATAGTTTGGAAATGTATGACCCTCCCTCTCCACACACACACACACACACACACACACACACACACACACATGTTTTGTCCTGTGATGCCTTGGAGGAGCATTCCTTCCTCTGTGAAAACCATGAACCCACTTAATTCACGGCAGTAGATTTAAAAATATTTTTTAATGTTTTATTTATTTCTGAGAGAGAGAGAGAGAGACAGTGTGAGCAGGGGAGGGTCAGAGAGAGAGAGAAACACAGAATCTGAAACAGGCTCCAGGCTCTGAGCTGAATGCCAGTTCAGAGCCTGACGCGGGGCTTGAACCCACGAATCGTGAGATCATGACCTGAGCCGAAGTCGGATGCTTAACCAACTGAGCCTCTCAGGCGCCCCACTGCAGTAGATTTTAAATCCTTCTGAACAAAAGGGTCATCAAGGAGGCTCCAAGTGAGAAGCAAGATCAGTGTCATTCCCCAGACCAAAGAAATCAGAATCCCCAGACACTGACTTTACTTACCATGCTCAACTCAGTCTAATCTGCAGCTAAGGTTGTGAGATGCTGGTCTAAGTGGTCATATAACCGTGGAACTTGGAATTCCTTGCTGTTTTATAACCTGGAATTCTAAATGGCCTTTGTAGCTACAGCTAATTCCTTACTGTCTCCCACTGGGCACTTCTACAATGAATGAATAAATGCGCACAGAAGAAAAAAATGATATAGAGATAAATTACATATTTATACACACGTATGTATACATATATGTACACATGTGTGTATACATATGCACAATACAATACATATTTCCCCCTATAAATATATTAGCCCAGTCAAAAGCATTTGCTGAGTATACCCTGAGCTGGGCTTCAGGCTAGGCGCCTCCCTTATAAAGACGAGGAAGAGCTAGTCCCTGCCCTCAAACAGCATTAGCTGTATGTTGAGCAGATCATTTTAGTCTTATGCAGCAAGTGACAGCAAAGTGCCTCCAGTGTTTTTTTCTTTTCATTCATCCAGATTTAATAACAAACATCGTTATTATTGGTCCTTTTTTAAAATTCCGTTTCAAATGCAACTGACTACCATAAATGTTCTGCAGAATGGCACAAATTAAAGAGCAAATGTGTACATATATCAGAGACCTGACTTGAAAAACCAAAGACTGCTCCATGTACATCAGTGAGGATAAACAACGCTCAACAGTGGTTGTGAGAGAAGAAAACCAGGAAAGAAAGAACAAAGATGTTCCAAGACAGCAAGAACAGATGTCCTGGTTCTAAACTGCTTCTGAAATTAGCAGGCTACTTCACAGTTACTCTCCCCGCAACAAAGCTTTCAGCTTCCCTAACAATCAATCCAACTGCCTAAAGCCCTACTCCTTGCAGCACATGGGCGCTGTTAGGGAAGAGTAGGCAGACACGCTTACTCCATCGGGGCTGAATAAAAGGGTCTTGGGGTTTATTTCCAGGATCTCTTCATCATTCTGGACAGAACTGATAAGAACCTTGGTGCTGTAGTTTTGAGTGTTTTGAAAGAGACAGAGGTCACTAGAGTGATTGCCTCTAGCACTTTCCAGTAAGCTAACGCCCGATGCTGGCCAGGCTGCTTCCGGCACTCAGGAGGGAGACACCGTCACACATCCCAGACTGGGGACTAATGGGGGTATAATGTGTCCCTGCAGTGTCCCCACAGGCTGGAAAGTTGCGATGGCAAGCCAGCTTTGTTTGTTGTTAAAATTATTCATAGTCCTCTTGGAAATTTTAGAAAATGTACAAAATTACAAAGAAGAAAACAAAAGTTACCATGTTTTCCCTAGCATCCAAAATTAACCACTATCTTGCTGCAGGTTTCTGAAGTTCTTTTTCTGTATCTTTGTGTAATATTTTAAAATTTCAGGAAACCTACTTTTAGAACATCTACTGTTTTCATTCATCTCATAATACTGTTTTGTGTTATGAGTACTGTCCCACGTTATGGTCTTCTTCAAAATCACAGTGTTTTGGGGTGCCTGGATGGCTCAGTTGGTTAAGCGTCCAGCTTCAGCTCAGGTCATGATCTCGTGGTTTGTGGGTTCGAACCCCACGTCAGGCTCTGTGCTGATAGCTAGCTCAGAGCCTGGAATCCGTCTTCAGCTTCTGTGTATCCCTCTCTTTCTGTCCCTCTCCTGCTCACACTGTCACTCTCTCTCTCTCAAAAATAAATAAGACATAAAAAAATTTTTTTAAACAAAATCACTGTGTTTTCAGGCTAGTGCTTAAATCAGGTTCATAATCCTTTATCCACAATTCCAAAGCCAAAAGCTTCAAACTACTGAAAAATGTTTGTAACTAATTTGGCAGCAAAACTGGACCTGCAGTGAAGTGATGTATGTTCTTCATTTATCCCACTTCCTGTGAATATACCTCTATGTTTCACAGGTAGAAATATGAGTATGTTTAATGCCTAGCCATTTCTCCAAAACTTAGAGGGGAAATTAGTAATATTAGC